ATCTGTTATAAAAAAAATATGCAATCCAAAAAGCGTATTGCTCTAACTTTTTCTGGAAGACCAGAAAATGACTTTATTTTTGTTTTTAATCTTTTTTTTTTTAATATGATCATGAATTAATAGGTTAGACATCCAGAAAGTGATGACCCAGCCGTCCTTAAAGTTAACCAGTGCTGTTATGATGAGAAGAGGGAGGATGAGGATGCTGCGAGGATCGGAGGCGGCGGAGGGTACCGATCTCTCCAGACGCAATGGACCCCGGTGTGCGGAAAGGGCCCGGAATGGGGGTGCAATGAAGATGGAAATGCCCCTGTTACCTCGTAGATGTCTTCATACTTGACATTGTCCACTAGTTTCCAGAGCATGATGGCGGCTTGTTCAGAGTGAGGTGAGAGCATTCATGTGAGTAGCAGCTGTGTGGCTTCTCACTGACTCCTCGCCTCTAATAAAGAAGTAAGACAAGGAGTTCCTACTTGTACGCCAACCTCTAGGATAAGTGAGTTATATAAAGTTATATCTCTATCCCTTCCTTCCAATGTCTCTCTCTCTCTATCCCTCTCTCTCTCTCTCTCTCTCTCTCTCTCTCTCTCTATCTATCTATCTATCTATCTATCTATCTCCATTTATATATATAGAGAGAGATACATCTCTCTCTCTCCACCAACAGATAGTAAGAATAAATGAAAGAAAAATGGAAAGAAAGAAAAAGACTAACTAGATAGATATACTAGAAAGTAAGAAAAAAAAATATTGAAAGCAAGAAAGCATGGATAAGATAGATAGACTAGAATAAAGAAAGAAAAAACAATAAAGAAAGAAAGATAAAAAGAGAATAGACAGATAAATAGATATACTAATAGAAAGTAAGAAGGAAAAAATGGAAAGAAAAAAGCAAGAAACAAGAAAGCAGAGATAAGATAGATAGATATATTAGAAGAAAGAAAGAAATAAAATAATAGATAGATAGATAGATAGATAGATTTCACTCATGTACACAGAGATAGTTATTGTCAGTGGAGTGTTATCATCCTGTGTAGTTCATCTTCTGTGATAGACTCTCTCTTCCTCACTGGTGGCTTCATACATTCACTAAGTAATGATCTGTTTATTCTGTTTCAGGGTAAATATATTTTTCTGTCCATGATACAGCAGCTTTGTATTTTTTTTGTGTGTGTTCTGATGTAAAAGAAGAAGAATTAAGGAGAAGGAGAGGCAGAGAAGGAGAAACAGAGAAGGAGAGGCAGAGAATAGAGACAGAGAAGGAGAGGCAGAGAAGGAAAGACAGAGAAGGAGAGGCAAAGAAGGAAAGACAGAGAAGGAGAGGCAGAAAAGGAGAGGCAGAGAAGGAGAGGCAGAAAAGGAGAGGCAGAGAAGAGAGACAGAGAAGGAGAGGAAGAGAAGGAGAGACAGAGAAGGAAAGACAGAGAAGGAGAGGCAGAGAAGGAAAGACAGAGAAGGAGAGACAGAGAAAGACAGTCAGAGAATTAGAGTTAGAGAAGGAGAGACAGAGAAGGAGAGACATCGGGGAGACAGAGAAGGAGAGACAGAGAAGGAGAGACAGAGGAGAGACAGAGAAGGAGAGGCAGATAAGGAGAGACAGAGAAGGAGAGGCAGAGAAGGAGAGAGAGAGAAGGAAAGACAGAGGAGAGACAGAGAAGAGGCAGAGAAGGAGAGAGAGAGAGAAGGAGAGAAGGAGAGAGAGAGAGAAGGAGAGACAGAGAAGGAGAGGCAGAGAAGGAGAGACAGAGAAGGAGAGAGAGAGAAGGAGAGAGAGAGAGAAGGAGAGACAGAGAAGGAGAGGCAGAGAAGGAGAGTCAGAGAAGGAGAGGAATGGTAATCTGGCTGCAGACATGAGCAGGACCTCACGGATACAATTATCAGTGTCCTCTGTATACACATTGATGAGTGTTGGGTTCTCTTTCACTGAAGTGGATCTGATGACAGGGACAGTGAGCAGGGATTGCTCTTCCTCGGATTACACACACACATTCACACGGTGGATTCTGGTGCTCAGTGGACGATCCTTAGGATGTGGAGGAAGATCTATTCATGAATAATGAAGTGACAATCAGTTCTTCAGGAATATTTATTTTCCAGCACTTGTTTTGTAATGATAGAAAACAATAAGAAAAGTACAAGATGTTGGAGACATTTCTGTGTTATCTCAAAATTGTAAAAAGTAATTCTTGAGAAATAAATGATACAAAATGAATCCTTCCAATGACTGTATTTATTATAAAACCTCAGTGTATGTTCACTTTGCACAGAGAATGATAGTCAATAAAGTTCATTTTGATAATCAATCAGGGGGAAAAAATATCTGTATTTTGTCTTGCACCTGATTGATCAAAGTGAACAATCTTCATTGTATCTACTGCACCCAGACAACTCATCATCACTTTGGTGGTTGAGCAGCCCCCCTCCCCCTACTCCTTGATAACAGAGCGTGTTCACTTTACAGTGTGAATGTTTTCCAAGCTTAATTCATGAGATTCAAAAAGAAGATCTGATTACGTGCAATAAAAAATAGGATTTTTCTTACACATGATTGGATGATTGAAGTCAGTCCGGCTTTACTTCATTTACTAAGCTAGGTGATCATTCACATTACAAAGAAAACATGCTCTACTCCTTTTGTATATAGACCCCAATGTGCTTAGATAAAAGGAAGTAATAACAGTATAAAATGGTACTGGAATTTTTCTTTTTTTGCAATTTGAAGTGAGAATGCAATTGTTTTTAATTTAAATCTGATTCGACTGCACACTGAGAGCTTCTCACAATGTGCATCAGAAGCTGCAGCAAGTCAGATAGAGCCCGCCTCCTTTCCTGGCTGGAGAACATCCAGCATCAAGCAGCCCTCTACATTCATTGGATTTCAGCTCCTCCAGTCATAGAGACTCAGCATCACATGTAGAGCATTACCTAGACTAGTCTGCATGAAAATGCAGCCTGCAGTGGCGTCACAAGGGGGGTGCGACCTGCACCCAGGTGACACCATTGCAGGGGTGACATCAAAACGACTGACAGTCATTTTGGTGTCACCCCCCTCTAAAAAGTCGGGCACTCAGTCATGGACCGAGAGCCCGACAGTGTCAGGAGAGAGGAGGGGACCCGGCCTCGGGACGCCCCTGGCAGCCTGCCTAGGGACACCTTCTCCTCCAGACTGACATCCACCCATCAAGCCATTTAGATATTTGCATAACTCCCCCCAAAGAGCCAGCCCACTGCTTGCCTTAGGGCAGGTTCACACCATTTTCCGGACCAGCAGTTCCAGTGCATTCCACTGGAACAGACTGCGCTGGTGTGAAGAGAGGCCAGAAATAGCATAGGGATACATTGGGATGCGTTTTGGGTCCAGAAACAATCTGGTCTGGTTGGGAGATGATCTGGATGTGGTGTGAATGGGCCCTTAGGTCTGGGGGCTCTTGGGAAGAGTACTGAGGCAGGGTGCTGGGATTTTTTCAGGAAGCTATGTACAGCATAGCATTCAAAAATGTCATTAGAGTGTTAATGAGAATGGGAGGCAGCAACCAAGGAGGGCAAAACATAAAGAAAATTCAGCTTTAACAAGGAGAATAATAACATAACAGTATTGAAATGTATGATATGAAAAATAATAATAAAGAGATGTCAAACAAAAAATATATTGTTTTATTTGGCCCTAACTAAAGAGAAAGCATACACTAGATAAATAAATAATAAATAAATGAATGAATAAATACATAATACATAAATAAATAAATAAATAATAAATACATACATACATAAACAAATAAATACATAAACAAATAAATAAATACATAAATACATAATAAATAAATAAATCAATAAATACATGAATTAATAAATACAATAATAAATAAATAAATAAATAAAATAATAAATAAATAAATGTATCACTATTAGATTTGAGATATTTTTAGGTGACATAAAAGAGTCGCCTCCTTCCAAATATGTATTTTCACAAATGAGATTTTTTTGTAAAATGAATGCAAAAGATAATGATGATGTTACACGTAGAATAATAACTCATTCATTATCATATTTTACATTGCAGTATCTTCCTATCTGTCTGTAAACTGACTGTAAGGAAATATTTCTAAGATAGAATTGTTCACAATGAGTGGAAAATAAATAATGAAAGCAATGTAAGAAGAATGTAATTGTGCTCTGAATTCCCTGCCTGCCCCTCCAGTGAAGGGATACAGAGTATGTCTGAGATCAGGATAACATATAGGAGGATGTGTGTGTAGGACATACATACTGAGAGGGGGAATTCATCAGCACACCTTGATTGTGTAAATCAGAGTTAGGGATCTCTGCTGCCTGCCGTGGGGACTTAGCTGGTGGTCTTAGTAAATGAGGGAAGAGGTGTGAGAAGTGGAGGTGGGGGGATAGAAGAGAGCTACATAGACAAGAGATGTACCAACCCAGGAGAGGACATGAAGGTAGGACATGTCATGTGAAGAGGAGGAGGTGCAGACTGCTGGATAGGAGATGATGCCCAGTGTACACCGGGAGTGATGAGGAGGTGTCATGGGGACTTCTAACACCCATATTTCTCAAGTCAAAGGAAGTCACATGACCCAGCAGATATATTGCCATTAAATGATTTAGAATACTATGGAGGTTTATTGTCCTACTTGTATTTGTTCACATTATATATATATATTTATTAAATGTATCTTAACTCTTTCTTTCTTTCTTTCTTTCTTTCTTTCTTTCTTTCTTTCTTTCTT